CACATATACTTAGTATCGTACAAATACAATTAAAATGAAAATGGATGAATGTAGGAATGGAAAAATTTGAATAAAATGCATACATTTGACAAAAAAAACATTTAAAAGTAACAAAAACAATTTGCACTTACTGCATTTTATATTTATCTCAGGTTTCAGTCACGTCATAAAAAATAATAAAGTTACAATTTAAATATTTTTAACATTTTAATTATACGTTACATCCTCTTTAATAAAATTAAATTCAAGTTTAAGTAAATTAGTAAATTTTCATGGATTAAATAGCATTACGTTTTGACAGATTGGACAATTAATAATATATATGACATATACTTTATTTATATTTCATTTGTAATTGTGCATAAACGTCAAAAAATTTATGTAATATCAATATTTTTGATGTATTTGTTTGTGTCATTATTTGTAACTGTAATGCATTTACCCATAAAAATTTGTAAAATCAAAAGTTGATAATTAAACTCATAAAAATTGCATTTTATAAAAAAAATAGAACACAAATGTAAAAAAAATTACATAATCTTTGTTAATACGTTCTAAACCAATTAAATAAATGCGATTATTTCGCATCCTTAGATTATCGTAGTATTATACAAGATTAAATTAAAATTTTACAATATATGAGAATATTTTTAAATAAACTATATCATAACTCTCATAACTTTTAGATTTGAAAAAAAAACCATAATAATTTTAAACAAATATAAAATTTTAGCTTATAAATGAAAGAAAATTTACATTATATTCTTCAAGAAGTATACATGATTGTTAAAATGCATTGTAAAGAGATTGCAAAAATATTTTTCTTCATTATTTTCAAGTGCATAATGGGTCGAACAAACTCAAGTTTTGATTAAAAAAAACATGACGATTTATTTGTAATATTTCGTTATATGTTTGTCATATATGATAAAGGATGGAGATTTTTAAACGGAACATTAAATAATTAATATTCACGCATATAATTTACAGATACAGCGCATGATAATAATATACAGTATGACATGAAGCAGCAAATCGATGATGAAACAATTTTTTACTGCGTAAAGAGCAGTATTGGACAACATAAATGAGATACAATTATATAATCTTTGTATTTTTCTCAATTATCAGAAATAATTTGGTGCGTTATATGTAAAGCTTAATCGTCGCAAAATAAAAATAACAGAAAAATATTTTAGCAATGAGTCACAAAAATATCTAAAAAACATCTCTCTATATATAAACAAATTTTAAAAAATAAAACGTGCTTTCGAGTATCCTACTTTCTTTTTTCCAGCGCCTCAACTGTATAACACAACTTTAGTTTTATTTGCTTTTTTTTGTATTTCACATTATTAATTAAGAAAATTAGTATGATTTTAAGTGTTAAAAAAATTTCTGCGAACATAAAATTTTCGCTTGTAAATCAACAAATTGGAAATTTTATTATATCAAGCACCGTAAATTTGTGGGTCGGAAAATCATATTGGTATTTAGAGCGGACAAAGATAATAATATAATAATGTCTATTTACTTTCTTTTCCCGTTCCTCTATTGTGTTTGTGTTTATATGTGCGCGTGTGTATGGATTATTGTAATAATGTTATTATTATAGGCTGATAAGGTACATACAAAACAACACACAATAAAAACAATAACATAATATTAACGTGACGCTCACAATAATGATAATATAATAATAATTTAATAATAATAATAATAATAATAATAATAATAATAATAATAATATAATCTTAAGAATTTTAATAGACATAATAAACATCATCAGTGGTATATTTAATAACTAATTACAATCAACTCTTGCAGTAAAGCATGGACGATACGGTAAACGCCACACCGACCGTCCAATCGAAATTTCCCATTTAATTATTTCGCTTGAGAAATCATTTATTTCGTTTATCATTTATATTGTATTATATTATCGTCGTTACATAATTATAACTGTGTTACAGTACCGTGGCAGAACTATACAGTTGTCCAAAACTCAATCTCTCACGAGTTCAAACCCACTCTCTCTATCATCGTCGCGTTCCACATCTTCATGCTCTTCTCTTCTCTTCTCGCGTTCAGCTTTATTTATTTTCATCGCTCGCGTCTGTCTCGAACGTCCGAGAGAATTTTCGATTCACGGTTTTTATTTCTCTCTTTCTTACTCTCGATTTTTCATCTTTCTTTTTCGATCTCGCTCTCATTTTTGCTTCTTTTCTCTCTTACACACATACACACATTTTCTCTCTCTCTCTCTATCGATTTTCCCAAAATGCAAAGCGCGTGTCTATTTTTCCTTTTAACATTCAAATCCACAGCCGTATAACATACGTTCGTACAACATACAAAACAGATGCACTTGCTTGCAACCAAGCACACATTCATATATGTTATACACATACATACACGCACGCACAACATAACACATATACATACACAAAATACGCGTATATAATATATTGTAGCCATTCACATAGACTTAATAGCCCTTGGTAATTTAGATAATGTTGCACCTTAGAGAATAGAGATCCACTGGTATAATTTTTTTTGCATTAAACATCTGATTAAATTACCTACTTACTCGCTGATGTCTTGTTTTAAATTGTATTCCGGCCGCGCTTAGGACTTCGTTCATACGAGATCGATTTTTTCTTATTTATTTTCTGTTCTCGTCGTGAAAGACATAAGTATGGATCTTAAACGAAAGAAAAGTGACCGGAAAACATCCGTCGCTTGATACACATTCATTGGATTTCCAGAGATCAATACTCGCGACATTTACTGGACACCACAAATACATACATATATGTATGCACACAAACATATGTGTATGTATATGTACATATATAATAAAACGCATAAAAAATATATGTATATATATTTTTGATATTGATTCCTTGTTATTTTTCAAATTTAGAAAATATATAAAATATGATAAAGAAAAAAGATTTTGATTGAGATCTTTTACGGATTTTTAATATTAATAATCGCGAGCACCGATTTGAAGTAGATATAACGTCCAGTTTTTATCGACGAATATTTGGAAGATCCAATGGTACAATTAAAAAAAGTATTCCAACGCGTAATTTTATTAGAAAATCATTCCAGATCGATTTTCTAGCAACACAAGTCAAAAGTCTCATGTGTTTCATCGATAGATGTTACTGCCAATAAAAATAATAGTTATGCTATCGTTAGCAAGTTGTAAAGCTAGTCAAAGTGTTAAGTACCACAACCTTTTATTCTTTCTTTCCACGGCAAGAATATTGAGCGTACATGCGAGCTTAACCCTGCATATAATACCATAGTTTTTGTGTGAAGATCCCAAACTCAGCCTAGAACCATACAATCACGACCACTCACTAGAGAATCCGACTACTAGGTATATTTTTTTAACATAAGTCGTTTTCCTTCAATACAAGAATTATAGATACTAATTTGCGATTCTTGGTAGGTGATTATTACTACATTGTGGACGTAATCATCTAACTTTTGGGATACGCTTGTGTTCTACACTGATTTCGAAACTTACTACATTCTTTATTTCGTCACGACAGGCAATTAAATTGAAATAGAAAAGGAAGAGGACGTTTAAACTATTTGTACGTCTTTCCTTCTCGGTCGAGAAATTATAAATATATATCCCGATAAATGTAAATTGCAAATTTGGTTAGATCAAGTGTAACATTTATTCACAAAATGTTTGAATCAAATACTTGAAAAACTATTACTTGTTAAGAGCAAACATTTGCACTGAGAATCTACTGTTTATAAAATTTTTACACTAAATTATTAAAATGATGTAAACAGATAAAAGCACAAATGAAAACACGTATCAAGGAAAACCTTCCTTAATATTCACTTTTAATATTAGTTGTATATAGATATATACTCGACAAAAGAGAGATTTGTAAGCCTTTATATAACGCGATCGTAACCCATATCGAAGTGGAAAAATTAATTTAAAGAACAATGCACATGCACTTACGCGAGATCAGTGAGTCCACTTACCCCTAAAAGCGACCCATCCATTTTATAACCTGCTCGACTCTCGATGGACCATCCAGCCCTAACTCCAAAATCAATGATGTCTGATTGGATCGGTCCCAGATGTAAACTGTAACGACACGTTCCCATACCTGGACCCGACAATGTAAGACGAGGTAAATACACGATGCGGAGCGGGGAAAGAGAGGGGGAAGGGGACGGTGGAAGGAGTAGGGGTACACTAAGTGACATTAATTACCTTTTTACTTTATGTATATGTATATGTTATATATACATATACATATATATATATATGTATGTATATATGTATATGTATATATAACTGGAGAAAATACTACCGAATTACGAATTGGACAGATTGCTTGGTGTCGCTCGATGACGCGTTATTACTCGCGTAATAGCGACATCCGACACCGACACTCGAAGAGTCTTCGGCCCGCTTGAAATAGCGGCGCCTTTGTTTTCTATACAATAGCGATGTTTTCGCTTGTTGAATAATAATAATAATTAATAATAATAATTAATAATTATTAATATATATAATATACTACGCGCGAGCTTTATCTTTCCTTAAGTGGAGGCAGTCTTTGAACGGCTGCTCGACAGAGTCCTTGAGGATTTTTCGTCGTTCCCGTGGACGTGGATATCGATCGACGATTATTCACCGAGGATCGGTGACGTCCCGGAGATGGTTTTCTTTCTCTGGAGCGTCCGGTGCTCATTTCATTCAGGCAGCCAAGCCGTGAGGCGTCTGATGTAGGAGCGCGGGATACTGTTGGGCCACGTGCGTCAGCTGATGATGGTGACCGCCGGTGTGTGCGTGCGCGTGTGTGTGTGGATGGACTACGGCCGTAGCGGGCGTCACGTTGCCCGACGACGACGACGACACGTGAATCGGCGGCAGCGGGGTCTGCGGCTGCGGTGCGTGAAGGCTATGGCTGCTGCTGTGACCTGCTACCAGGCTGCTATGGCTACCCCCGTGGCTGCCACTGCTGCCGGACGAGGTGTGGCTGTGATGATGGTGCCCGAAGACGACTCCAGAGAAGGCCACGGGTCACTGATGATGCTTCGTGGAGCCGTTGGCGTGATGCGCCTGCGCGACCACGTGGTGACTCGAGGGTGGCGCGTGCGCGGTGCTCGGATGGTGGTGACTACCGGTCGCCGCGTGGTGGTTCGCGTTGTTGGCGCTGCTGCTGTTGTTATTGTTGTTGTTATTCTGCTGCTGAGTCTGCCGTTGGCTGTTCTTCTTGTTCTTCATACGACGATTTTGAAACCAGATCTTCACCTGACGCTCGGTCAGATTCAGATTGCGCGCGAGCTCCCACCGCTTCTGCTTCGACACGTACGCGTTGAAGAGAAACTCTTTCTCCAGCTCGAGGGTTTGGAACTTGGAATAGGGCTTGCGTTTCTTCCGCACCGTCACCTGGCCCGTCCACTCCAGGGGATTGGAGCTGCCGCATCCGACGCCCATCCCGGCTACGCCGACTCCAACCCCGACACCCGCAAGCGAACCTGCGGGAAACAAGGAAGATGGGGAGGAACCCCACATCACTTAACACAATTAGTTTGCCTGATGATAAACAACCTAGCTGCTAGCTAGAATAATATTTGGTGTGACGCTCGAAGAAAAAATAAGATTATACAAATAAATTCATATCTCAATCTCGCTCTGCGCTTCTGTCCTTACAAAATTTATTATAGTCTCAATAATTCTCAAACATTAATTCTTGACAAATTAATAAGCCAAAATATATGGATATTAAAAAGTTTATTTTAGTGTTTATACACCGGTTTTTCATTTACTCGCCGACATATTTAACATAAGCGGATTTTGAATGAGGAAAGCGGTTGTACCGGTTCCTTTTTCTTGCTTATTACCGTCAGTCATTACTGCGAAGCGACTCAACAGAAATGAGCGCAGATATATCGGTTCGTTAATCAGTGTATCGGCGCGTAACTGATACCGTTAGTTCTTTTTTTTTTAATCAATAAACATTTCATAATCGTCCACTATAAATAATTATGTACATTTATTAAGTTGGTAAAAGCAAATTGCGTTGTTATTTGTTGTGAAAAATTATCACCATCATATATGCGAATCAGATTGAACGAGAAATTATTGAAATGGTAAAAGTAACTCTCTCTACCAATTTCATAAAATTCACAAACCTCGAAAAAGGGAAAATAAAACGGACATCCAGCATTTAATTGCACCTGTCGCATAATTACATTAAAATATTCAGATCGCCGTTATAACGCATAGAAATGCATAGCATCTTTCGATTGATTTCTTTTATTAATGTGGCAAATTGTCGAAGATATTCTTTTGCAAACAAATTTTATTGATAAATTAAAAAAAATGTATCAATTTTTCATCCATCAAATTTCGGCAAAAATGTTAGTAATTTATATATATAAGTTTCTTTTTGAAAATTGAAATATGATCCTAATATTGATTTGATTGATCATGAATTTTTCCTAATATTAAATAAAAATATTCTTTACTCAATAATTTATATGTTCCATATATGTATACGCATTTTTATCAATCAAAGTATAAATAGAGAAAGCATGTTTTGCGCTTTTAACGCATACGATACCTTTCAAAAAAATTCCTCATATTTCTAATTACATTTTTAATAGATCTAATTTAAAATTGTTATATTTTTAATAAAATTTTATTTACTTCGTAAACATTATTAAAATAGTGCTGTTCGCGGCAGCATTCGAAATTAAATTGCTGTTTCTCCAAATTAAAAAATAAAATTTGAAAAATTCAACATTTCGCTATTCTCAATCTTTCGATTTTATTTTTTTCCCAGATTGGGGTGCATCCTCGATCGAGTCCGTGCCTGGAACAGTTCTCCGAATGTCAAAGCGTGCACTTCAAGCTACGTATGTGTGCGCGCAACGTTACTATTACATACACATATGTGTGTATATATACCTACATACACATATACATGAACACACGAGGGTTGCCGCAGCCGTTCCCGGCACAGTGGTATGATATAATTGGACCGGTTCTACTAACCGCACGAAAAACATGAAGCCGCGGCGCGAACCGTTGTTAGGTTCTCTCTCGACTGGTTGGTGGTTTTTAACAGGGCATACTCTATGCCCCGTTGCGGACCAAGAATGTGGAGCGACGCGAATACATTTGTTAAAGCGGAATATACAACGGGATGATGGTGCAAGGTGCATACCCGCGCCAGAGTGGAACGGATAGCGATTACGAAAGCTCGCGGACTCATCATCATCATCATCATCAGCCCGCGTGGTCTATCTTTAACCCAGTCGCGCGACTGGATAAACGTCTGCTTCTTGGTGCCTATACGTGAATGCAACAAAATTCTAGGGGTGCCCCATACGTTAAATATTTTCGTGTAATATAGAGGAAGAAAGAGAAGGAGAGACGAGGAAATAATGTCGAGTATCGTCGTGCACATTTGATATCGCAAAAATGTTGAAATGTTTCCTTATCTTTGCGCGAATAAATATCCCTCCTTTCCCTCCTCCTCCCCAATGAATATCGCGACTCGCTTCGTCACTTACATTTTCTTGTCAAACAGTAAAAAAAATTATAGCCGATACCCCACGTGTTTCATATGTATGTATTACATAATGATTTTGTAACAATAAAATATATAATCGTGATGTGTTAATTGGTGTAAAAAATTTTAATTTAGAAATTAAAGGAAATTTGATTCGCGCAAAAAATGTTGCAAATTATCCAAAGGGATCGAAGCGGCTTAATTTTAGCCTAAGATTTTGAACAAACGCATTGACTACCGGATGTAGCATTATGTTTGATCCGTCGGAACATATGCTTGCGATGGGCGCCATCCGCGCAGCATTAAGTATATCTCAGATGTCACGCAGGTATTTTTATAGATCTCGGTTGACACACTTACATATATTACCATTAAAATTACTATTTCTCACTTAATTAAAAAAAAATTCTTTCTAGCGTAAGCAAAATAAAAATATATAAATACAAGTTTATTTCATATGCAAATTAATTGATATCTCATAAAAAAAATATACAAGTTTCGCTCCTCGAACTTCATCCAAATTCAATTATTAAATTTTTCCGTTTGGTTCTGGAGTCTTTCCCTATTTTTAATATGCTTTCTCATTGCTTAAACATAATTATTTAAATGGTAAGAATTTATTTGCAACATCAAATATTATATATACAAATTATTTAACAAAAATAACAAGATTCTCACGAATGTTGACGTATAAAACAAATAGATCGAGAGAGCACGTATAATCATAATTTTAAAAATTCATTATTAAAGAAATTAAAATAAATGTCTTATAATTCATATAAAAAGTAATAAAATAAATAATATAATACGGATTGAAAAATATTCGATAGTTCAGAATTTGTAGTTTTTTTTCAATATCTAAGGCTTTGATAGAAAGAGTCGAAGGGGTTCGTAACTTGGGGTTGCCGAAAGTAATGGAAGTGAAATATCGATTGGAAATAATTCAATATCTTTCACATCTGCCGTACAGATTTTTTTTCATTTTATTTACTTTATATAAGATAAAATATATACAAATTAAGTAAAAATAAAATTTTAAAAATATTAACATTAATAAACATATTGAATAATATTATAAAAATGTTTTATCAATGTATTTTGTATAATTTATTCATATTTATATTTAAATATTCAAACTATTAAGATTCCTAAGTTATTTCTATTCCACATTTAATTCGCAATAGCAAATAATTTTTTTGCACAAAGCGAGAGAGGATAAGAGAGAAATCGAATATTTTTTTTTAATTAAAAAAATGTTCTCAAATGGCCTACTTAGTTTCCTATTTGTACAAACACAAGCAGATGGAATATTTGATGTTGAAGGATAGAAATTTTCGGATAACTTGATAAAGCCATACTTTATGTTAAATTTATTCCGTCCCGTGATATAAGTGCGCATAATGATGACCGGTAGGCCTCAAAGGCCTAATTAAGGGGACAGACCGAACCGCGGTATATTAAGTACGGACACCAATAAATAGCCGACGTTCCCGTGAATGCGTGAAGATAATATCTCACAAGAGCTAGGATCCCAGGTTGTGGTGAAGGAGGGGAAGGAGGAAAAGAGAGAGGGGCACCTGGAAGACATTGTAATCCGGCCTCTCGGAGATAACCCGGACTAATATGGGATGGCACGACCGCGATACGGTGCAGGCGGCGCACTCTCTGGTGTCGAGCGACCGGGTAAAGATAATGGAGCCGCCATCTATTGGGTTAAGCTTAAACTATACCCAGTGCGCGCCCGCATTTCGCTATTTTGTATGTAGCCCCGTCGTGGAGGCATCACGCTTGCGCGCACATATATTGCTCTCTCTCTCTCTACTCCTCATCATCATGCGCGTACGATTAAAACTCCTTGGCTCCCTGATGATCACGCGAGCGTTATCTCGGTTATCGGAGTACCGTCGATGGCGGTCGCACGAGCGACAATAAGCGGCGATAATCGAAACGACGAGCGTCATGCCAAGTAGCGATACACAGTCCCGGTAATTTTTTCAGAAGGACAAGGCGAGAACAAAGCCGACGATCGATGAAAAATACCTCTTTATTATACGCCCGCTATGAAATTCAAATATTTCTTCTCCACGTGTACAGAGAGAGGCTCGCGTTGATATAATTATGCCGAATGGAATTCACAATGCTATATTATGTACTGGGTGTGTAATGTGACGTAACAAATACATAAATTAGAATGATATAAAAACTCTTTCTTTGCAGTTTCTCGATGGAAAAATAAAATAATAACATCGCTCTAGACTTGATATATTCTTTTATTATATAATTTCTTGACAAGAATATCCTTTTGTGAATATTTTTCAATAAAGAATGTATATCGAGTAGCGACGATTTTTTAAGGCATCATTTTCCTTTGTGGGGAAAAAAGGTATTGTACGAAAATGAAGTAAGATGGAGACAGATAGAGTGACAATACAAGCGCGCGAACAGCCGTTAGCCGGAAAGAGACTGAACGGGTCATGGAACGGATCAGCTGATCGGAGGCGCGCGCCAGAGTTTACGAGTTACGGCCGCCAATAAACCCCGGCCGCCGTCGTTCGTTGTTGCTCATGCGACGTTTCATGGGTTGCAGGGTCCCGGAGAAAAGGACGGAGGAAGAGGAGCACAAAAGGGAACGATGTGAATGAACGATAACTGGCGGTCGACTAAGTTCCTCGGAGAGAGAGAGAGAGAGAGAGAGAGAGAGAGAGAGAGAGAGAGAGATACTCTCGAAAGGTCGTAATAACAATTAAATATAAATTAACAGCGATCACATATATGTACCCGATCACGTTTACGACATTACGTCGTTTTTCGAATCGTTTTCATTCAATCTGTCTCGCCATACGTTCAGGTGACAAATCAATTGTAAATTTCAAATCATAGGTTCATTAATTTCGAATGATCTCTCAGGATCTGGCGGCCGAAGAACATTATATCAATTTATGATACTTGCGAACGCAGAAAACTGCCCGAGGTTTACGATCTCTTGGTTGTATAAGATAGTGTAGACGATAGTTTTACATTACGAGTGACGAAATATCTATATATATATATATATATAATCTGACGAATTAATTTCTCTCCTTTATTAATAATTCAACAAATAATGAATAAATAAGATATATCAGCAGTGATAATCTCTCGCGATAATATAAATATTACTCAACGAGTTATATATGTGTGTGTATATACCCACATACATATATATATGACGTTACGTCTGAATATATGAACTTGAAAAGAGATTCGGAACTCTCCGCGAGATCCCGGCGAGAGAAAAGGAGAAAAACAAGGAGCCGGAGTAGATGCTTACCTGGAGGTGGGTAGGGGCTCGAAGTAACGGGCTCGGGCGCTCCGTAGCTTCTTAGCCCGCCGTATCCGTCGTGGGGAAAGGCACCTTCCGCGGCGACCATAGCGGCGGCTACCCTACCACGGTCGTCCGCCGCGGATGGCGCCAGATACGGTACCCCCGCCTGCGAGTGAGGATGATGATGTCCGGCTGTGTCCACCGGATGGTGATGCCTCCCCGTCGTGTACGGGGTGTAATTGCACCAGCTCTGGGAGAAGCTCTGATGGCAGGAGGAGACGGCCGGGTCGGCGGCACCGGTGGATCCACCACCGCCAGTGGACGATGTCGTTGTCGCGGCACCGGCTGAGTTGTAGGATTTGTAATCCGAGGTAGAACCGGCGGTGCCGGCCGAGCCGGCCGTGGCGGGCGACCAGAAGCTAAGGGTTGCCCCGGCCTTCCGGTTGTCCCTGGAGGAACCGGAAGTCGAGGTGGGATCGGCCGCCAGGTTGTAATACGTTGGGGGATTGTTACCCCCGTAGGCCTGATGATGGTTCAACGATTCGCCGCCGCCCGTCGTGGACGAGTAGTGGGAGTCCTGGGGATGATGCGGACTGTAACTCCAGCCGCCTTGGGACCCCGCCGAGGACGAGTGTGAATGCCTTATCACGCCCGCTGCCCCCGCACCGCCCGGCGCGCCCGTCGACTCTATGCAGGCAACCTCACCGTAAGTGGAACCACCGCCCCCGGAGTCGCCGTTAATCTCTTGGCGGGTATGTGAAGCGGTCCGGCCGCGCTGTTGCTCGCTACCGAGGAAGCGCTCGGCGAGGTTGAACTGGCACTCGCTGTAGGCGCCGGGGGCGCTGTCGTTGTCGATGATGTCGGTGCACCAGGTGAAGTCGGCGTTGTCGCTTGATGAGAACCCGGGGTCGTGGTCTGCTGTTGAATCGATACGAGGGTCGAGGCGGTCGGTGGAACTGGCGGCGGGCTGTCCTCGTAGAGGGAACCGTTCATCATGGCCCACCAGGTCACCCCGGTGGAATTCCCCGCTCCGGTTGCTGTTCCCATCGGGGTGACGGAGCCAGGGTGACCCACGCCGGAGCCACATAGCGGCGCGGCGTGAACATTATCGTACAGCGTCGCCGTCGAGCAAGCCACGTGATCGGCGATGGTGCAGATGATGACGATTTATTGCCGGTGTTTACAACAATATTTATGCCGATGATCGGCGTCAATCGGCGTATAAGACGATGGTCCCGCGACCGTCCGCGTTCAGCGATATAAGATCACAAAATCCGCGCGAAGGTTTGAATCGATCAACGTGTTCACCCCGAAAGTCGTCGCGCGGTCATCATACGCGGAAGTAACAACGTGGTTTGTGAATTGATATATTTTTTTTTTTTATTTCAATATTCCAAACACACCGAAGCACAGAGTATAAATCGCAGACGGAATCAGTTCAATCGGAGAAAACGCGACGAACGTGTATATACATTCAAGGGTATTCACCGCGGAGCGAGAAACCGAGCGCTCATCGTGACCGAGCCGGTCGTGTTGGTCCGTGAATTCACGGAGTAAATAAAGAAAGCGCGTGCACACACGAGAGAAGGTAGTGGAGGAGCCAAGAGGTGGCGGGTGGGGATAGGGAAAATCGTGCGCGTAGTCCGAACGATGGGGTTGACGGCGGGGGAGAGAGGGTGTAGCGCCGCAGCAGCAGACAGGTGGAGGGGTAAACGCGGGACGGAGAAGCGAAGAGGCAGCGCGAAGGATAGACAGGAGCGAAGGATGGAGATCAAGTGCGTGGCAAATCCGCGACGAAAGATCCACACGCGGCGAGATAACGATGAAGACGACCAAGTCGTTGACGTTGATGACAACAAATGGGATGATCGATGAGGGTCAGCCGAACGAGCCACGTGCACGAATGTAGATCGGGGTCGGCACACAGGTCGTCGTGTAGATATGTTAGACAGTTGTCCAGGTCCAGCGATGTGGCAGAGACGAGTGTGTAATGAAACAAAAACAAAATGACACAACGCGATTTAGAGAGAGTACATCATCGTTCGAGTCGAGCTCGTTTTATTAAAGCCCAAGTACGTTCTTCAAGTACCAGAGCGCGTGCGGTTCTTGAAAAAAAAAAATCACCACCAGACACTTGACAATCAGTCGATTAGGCTCTCAACGAACTAACTCACTGAGCGACCAAATGGGTTACGATCGTCCCGCGACCGATTATACACAAGTCGCACGTCGTGCTTCCGTTTCTGTCACTTAGGACAGTCGTCATCTTCATCGTCAAACGTGCCCCGCCTGTTCACGCAATCTGCATACGTCGTTATACCTATCCAATCACGAAACCTTGAACCTTCAATGACGAGGAAATTGAAGCATTTGGAGTGACTAAGAAGTCTTAAGGAGAGAGAGCGTATCTCTGATCGGACCGGAATCCCTTTTATCCCCCGCGTGTCTTCTAATCTTTTCAGGTAGTAGTCGGTCTCGAGTCAGGTAGAACCACCCCTTGTGTAACAAGTTTAATACGGCGAAGGATCTTAAGCAGGTAGCAACGCCTCTCTCTCTCTCTCCGGTCCCGAGGATCGTGCGCCGATACACACACGCACGGCGCTCACACACAAGGGAATAACCCCCTTTCTTCTCGCTGGCCTCGCTGAGCCGTACTGAGCGTCAACTGAGAGCTCTGCCCGCGACTCGGAGTCGAACGGGCCAAGAGCGACGCGAGCGCGATCTCTCGGCTCGTTTGGCGATCGAGGTCCGGACGAACTCGTTGTCTCCCACTCTCCGCTTCTCTCTCTCGCGCGCGGTTGTGGAAACGCGCGCGTTCCCCTACCCTTGCTTCTCTGCCCGTGCGCTTCGCGCTCTAATCTGCTTTTCCTTCCTTCTTCTCTTCTCTTCTCTTCTCCACCGTGCCGCGCCGCGTCGCGAGCCAGCGAGCGCAAACATACCAACTATCTTTTACGAGAGAGGCTGCCTTTTCTCTGGGTTTTCGAGAAATATCGCGCGAATCCGCCGAATGTCAATATGCCCCTTCTTTTCCTCGAACGCGATCGATTCGCAATCAACGGGGGGAGAGAAAAACAAAATGATGATTCACCGGTAAATGACAGATCAATGATAGACTTGATGGAACTTGATGGAAACTTTATAGGAAAATTATGTCGAGAGATGTCTTCTATTTTAATGAATCTTATAATATCGAATTAACTTTTTATATATCTCATATTTAAAAAGTATTTTTTTTTTACGTAATAATTTTTTATTATTGCGTAATTACCTGGTATATAACAATTATCTAATCGGCTAATTTTTGTATTAGTAATTTTCTTGATTAATAATAGTGTGATGAATAAACAATAAAAATATCAGACATTGATTTTTTGATATTTTTATAATTAATTTACAGTAAAATATATTTATCAAAAACTTTTACATCTTTATTTCAATTTGTTAATTGTAAATAATTAAGCTTTTGACAAGTGACTTTTTTCTATCATATTTATTATATGCATCTTTTTAAAATATTCTCATCTCGTTGACTCTAAACCAGATGCATGTATATTTTTTTATTTATTTAGTTTGATAGAATTTTTTATATTCGTATGATTTTGTCAAACTCATTAGAAATGTACATTTCAATTGTCTCTCTCTCATTTCCAGAAAACGTCACGTGGCTAGTGAAATGCTCTCATGGATCACGCCTTCTAACATCGGACTCATCTTTAATAGTGTGTATGTGCATGTATGTACACGCAGCGCGCGAGCAATACGTCATGGCAGTATTGCAGTCTAAATCTCGGTACTTTTATGGGCAGTAAAGTAAAACGGTCTGACAACAACTCCGGCAGCACACACGCTTTCCATCTGTCTGTCCATCAGTGTCGTGTGCCACCAGATCGTGTTGCTCACGAGAGAGTCACCTCTTATTGTTAATGATCATTAGTAATCAATATTAGTAATCAAAAAAAAAATCCTCAATTTTTCAAAGAATTTCGTTCTGGTGTGAAATTAAAGAAAAATGTTAATGATTAAAATTTTTCATAGAGATCATATATAAATTTAAATTTTATTAATTACTTATAATTATTAATGCAATTATTATATTAGTAAAAATTCAATATGTGTATATAAATAGATTATAATAAGTATGAAAAAAATGTATGTAAAAAGAAAAATTCTCAATTTTTCAAAGAATTTCGTTCTGGTGTGAAATTAAAGAAAAATGTTAATGATTAAATTTTTCATAGAGATCATATATAAATTTTATTAATTACATATAATTATTAATGCAATTATTATATTAGTAAAAATTCAATATGTGTATATAAATAGATTATAATAAGTATGAAAAAATGTATGTATATTATCGTTTTAAACTGAAAATAAAAAATGTGAAATATATAGTTTTTCAATACAAGTAAATTATGTAAAATACAAGAAAGAATGAATTAAGGAAGATATAAATACTGCAATAATATATTGAGAATATATATTTCTGAATATTTGTTTCGTTATTTCTTAAATTTGAAAAAGTTGAAATAATTAGAAAAAATTTTTTGATATACTTTAAATTACTAATTTATATTTATTTTAATTGTATTTTATGCACAGTAAAAGATTAAAATTAAATTTGCAAGATTGATATTTTTAAAATTGATTAGAAATAAATTATTTTCATACAAATTTTCGTATCAAAATTTTATATCAAGACTTGCACGTTTGGTAAGTATCTATTCATTTTTTCTAACACCATACACATCCTATGTATTCCTGATACATTTCTGCTTTAAATAAATTTATTTTAGTGTCGATAAAAAACTAAGCATTTCTCAAGTTTAAAAAAATTTTATCTGCGAAATAAAAATTCAAATAAATCTCTATCAATTTACTCTACACAAAATAAAAACGATTTACTTATTTTTTAACTTTATGTTTAAGATATAATAAATAATCCGACTAGATATCGATTATTGCTTGCTTATATGATATAAAGCTGATTCAGTCTATATTATCCTATTATTAGAATGTCTGTTATGAATAAAATTTAAATATTCATATGATATGTTTGTATTCTCTCGTTTTCTCTTTTCCAACAGTATCTTCAGAAAAAGAATAAGGAATATTAAACAATTTATGACGCCTATGCATACACGATTATATGATTAATGAGATGCAATGAAAACGAGGTCGATTGGTCTGTCATCGGCGAGCCAGACAACGAGACGATTTCGAGAGCGATTGTGACAGCGTACACGTGTACACTAAGTAGGAAATACAACTCGTGCCTGAATACGAGTGTAATAAATCGCGCAGGAGGCGCGAGCCACCCGACGTTTGTTGTACAAGCGACGCGATCATGAATGGACTTTATAGCAGCCCGTCCATTTATAGGTAGTATGCGCGGTTTAGTAGCTATGGGCTTAGTACAGACGTGGTTGTATACACAATCCTCTGTTTACTACAAGTATGTACGTAGCTAGGAAATGGATAGGTTGACCGTCAAATTTTCATCTCTGCTCTCGCGACGCTTATCATTCACCGCATTGCTATTAATTAATCTACGGATACACGAACGTGTCGAAAACATTTTTTCTGATTCATTTGCCTTCCTATGAACCTCAGTTTTCTTGTTGTCGATTGATTGCCAAGTATCATATGTGTAAAACTACCTAATATTCTTTAAAAAAAATTTTTTAGATACTTTCATATGTAAAAAAAAGATTATTGAACTGTTAAATTAAAAATATAATATCTTTAAGAACTGATTCTATCTTATAAAAAGATCAATACATTTCTATTTAGAAAAATAGAATTACTAGTATACATAACTGATTATGCAACTCACCTTGTATACCGGGCAGTGTTCCGGGGAACACGCGGGAAAGCCTAAAAATATAAACAGATTGTAATAAATTACAGAATATTTTATTTGCCATATTTAAAATTATTTTTATATTTATGGAAAAAATATCAAAAAATATTTAGAGATACTCCTTTTGCAAAATTATGAATAATTTAGCATTGCTGTTTAATTACATATATATACTAATGAATGCTGTTATGACTTTAATAATTAGAGGATATTTTACTTATAATATTTAAAATTGTTTTTATATATGAAAAAAAATATATCAAAAAATATGTAATAAGATTTAAAAAAATTAGAGACACTCCTTTTGCAAAATTATGAATAATTTAGCATTGCTGTGTTTAATTAGTTATATACTAATGGCTGTTATTTACGATATGGAAAATATATGATAAACCGGAAGATGCTAACCTGCTGCTCAGCTCGAACGGGTGAAACGTCTTCTCCACGGCGCCGTACACTTTGAGGCCTTTTATTTACAAGTCTAAGAGGAAAAACGTCAGCCTGCAAAAAGAAAAACGGAAGTGCAAATTAAATGGTCTGTTCACTGATAACTGCCCTTCATAACGGGCCGTGTCGCCGTGAGTTTTATACGGCTTTTAGTAGCCTCCATCACGGCAGGTATAAAGTTCTCTACCTTGTACAACCGTTAATGCGACGCCATGCTCCATAACGAAACTTTACTTAGCCTTCCCTCTTCCTACACTCGGAAACTCAACTTCGTCGAACCTCTTAAAAACGTTCATTATGCGTTTTATATATCGAAATAAATAAAATTCGACCAGAAAAAAAAATAACTTGATATTTCAAAAACGTTATTTAATTATTCTGGACCCAACAGTTGGTCGCAAAAGTCAGTTAAGCTTTTATATAGTGCAAATTTTAATTTACAAAATATTTTTTGCATTATATTTAAACGAATATGTATAATAAAACATAAAGATTTATTTAAGGAGCAAAATTGTCTATGCTGTCGAAGCAATTAAAAAATGTACTATTTTCCTCCAGATAGAAAATAAATTCAATCGAAAAGCACCTATATGAATTTCGATTTACCTACTACGACGAGCGTGAATACCAGGGCCGGCGTTGAAAATAGAAAATGTAGAAATACTCTCTGGAGAAATCTGCGGAGTAAACTCTCCGAGAGTGAATTTATACCGAAATCTTAAACGGGAAAACTTGAGACAAAATGCAAAAAAGTGGATATTTCCTAAATAATCATCACGAAATCTATATAATAGCAATTCAATAAATTTAAGAAATGTTTATTTTTCTTAAAGATTTCTTAAGATTGTTCAATAAGATTGTAGATGCAACTTGCTGCATCTTCATTTTATTATTATCTTTACAGATTTTATTTTTTTCCAATTTACCTCAAATTTAATTTTCTGTTTATTCATCCCAAGATCTCATACACACAATAACAAAATATTAATTATTAAATTATAGGAATATATTGATATCTCAATAAATTTAAGAAATTTCTTTTTTCTTAAAGATTCCTTCACACACACAGATTATTCGATAAAATGGCTGGTGCAACTTGCTGCATCTCCATTTTATTATTATTTGTAGATTTTATTTTTTCATTTATCTCCTTTTTATTCGTCCCAAGATCTCATTATACACACGATGACAAGATTAACAATTATATATAATAAATTGATATCTCAATAAAACCTCGTTAGATATATTTATATGGATAAACGTCTGCTGTATAATATAATAAAGACTGTTTAGCCTTTCTCTAAATGTCAGAAGGGGGCAAAAAGTTCCGTTTTCCCAGATCGGGGGAGAAATGGTGTCGGCGAAATGTGGGCAGGACGTGCTGCGGAGGATATTACTTTTAAGGTTGAACAATAAGGGGATGGAGGAAGATCGGAGAACGCGTTTGGCAAACTCAGCCTGTGCAAACTAGAGGAGATTGGTCGAGGGAGCACAACAATCGGACACGAGAAAGCTCTTGGTTCCCTACCATGCCTTTCGTTACCAAGGGGGTGAAAACGTTATGCTGGGATGCCAACACACACTCGCAAAGCTCACACAAACGGTCCACTCGCGCGGAAGATTCGGGAGAACCGGCCCATTTGTCACTCAATGCTATCCCTTCGACCCCTTTCGAGCGAACGCACTTGTGTAATCAAATCAAATGTCGTATGTTTCTCAACTATTACGCGCCATTTTGAGCGTAAATTCAAGTAAATTATTCGTTTATCTGATCTTTACGTTTTTCATGTGTATTTTGTATTTAATTTACGTATTTTGGTTTAATATCTTGATAAGTGAACGTATATTAATAGTATTGAGAAATAAAGGTATAAGCATATAAAATTATAAAGTGATATAAAAAAATACATGGTTTTTTAATCTTGATGACTTACGCGATATGAAAACGTAAACTGACTTAACACACGTTTTTTTATGACAATGAACTCTGGATAGATAAATCGATATATTTAGCATCTCGTTATATGAAATATGGAGCTAAAAAACTTTTCAACAAAGACTCCAGAAAATTAACATTTAATGAAATAGATGAATGATAAAGTGCTATTTCTAGGGAGAAATAAAATTAACTTTTTATTAAATTTTTCTCTACAAACGTCTGCCATTATGCTTGTAACAAATTTTATTTCATGGTAAATAATTATTTTTAATAAGATTCTACGTATAGAAAAAAATAATTTAAAAAGTTGATATATATATATACACATATTTTCCACTACACTATGATTACGTGACAAACACAGTGATATACACTGGGTGGACGTCTTTTCATAATTTTAATTATCTCTAACACCTCGCTCTTTATCTCCTTCCATTTCCAGTCTGGAGTTGAAATGAGGTTTCGTTGCTTCTGTAGCATTGAACATTAAATCGGTCGCGTGTGTTAAGTGTCCGTGATTTTAAGTCTAATTTAAAAGTGTATTTTACCATTTGAAATAGAAAATGTTTTGTCAAAAAATTTCATTTCTACGCGTGGACAATTTGACAATCACTTTACATTCATCAATATTTTATACAGCAAGACATTATGTCGACAGACAGCAACCCTAAGCATGACACGGCAAGAGATTTAATTCATCTCTCCGAGACTGATGATTAAAAAAATTCAACCCTTCTACGAAGAAGAAGTCTCAAGTCCCACCCGGATGGCGAAATTGAAATATAGAGTATTTAGGATGCTGCCATTTTAAGAACGAGAGCGTGCAAAAATATCAACGCTGAGCAACACGCCAAAATAATAAAGCACGTAAACAACAATAACCTGTATCAATATCATCTTATTTACACCCTCCAAATACCTTACGCCTCCGAGGCGTGAAGAGATCTAATTAAGGTATACGCGCGTACATTCGCGGAACGGAAGATGAAAATACGTTCGGTATGCAAAGTAGCTCGTGGAGTCGCGGAGGAGCGCATGAGGTGGAGGAGCGAAATAACGCGTCTCTCTCATAACCGCGTGACGTGACGCGTGCCAATTTCAGCGGGGCGTCGAGACGCCTTTCGGCGCTTCAGTGCTGTCGGCACCGGGACGCCCTCTCTCCTTTCAGAGGCAGATGCTATGGCCGGACGACCAATCCTGGTCGTCCGGATTCGAGGAACGCTTCCAATATGGCAGTGTGGCCTAGCGGGACGAAGAATACTAGCGTACTATGTCTGATGAAAGCGACAAGTGAATCCTCCTGTCGCTTTGTCGCGGATCTTATACCCGTGTTAATTTATAATCGTATTCACTAATCCCATTCTCTTCGCACGCATTGGGATACGACGTGGCGACATACGAGCCATATCATCTTGAAATGATGCGAAACGAGATGTTGATGTAAATTGGGAAAAATTGTTCAGCTTTGCTAAACATTTTTCCATTTATCTGATCAGTATTTTTTCAAAACTAATTGTATCATATAATATCGCAGGCTTTAAAAACCCTGAAACAAACCCCCTGACATATAATTCTGAAGAGATTGTACAGTTAAATTTGTTAGCAAAATTATCCGCAATTTTTAATGTCCCTAATAAATGTATGTTCGTTATACGTTGACGTAGTCATTGATTCGCCAAGCGCAGTGCATTTCATAATAGAGCAATTCCAAGTCCAACCGTGTCTTTTCTTTTTTCCCCCCTTTTTTTTTGCTAGCTCGAAACTAGCCGTTGGTTTGTATTTCGCGTCACATTCACCAGTTACAATACAATACGAGCCACAGCTGGAACAAAGTATAAGCGCAGGATATTCCATTTGAGTAAAGACAGAGGAGGAGCAAGGGAGAACAACGCGGGGGGGCGAGGGGAGAAAAGCCTAAGAGGGTTTGAAGACTGGAAAAGTGGTGGTGAGCTTGAGCGCGTAGCGTCTACGTGAGTGTATGGCGACTCGGTATTGAGTCAAGAATGGCTAGACCATTTCGTGTTCCTGGGGTTGCGTCGTCATGGGAACCATCCTCATCAGGCAAAGTCTCTCAGGATCTTTCTTCATTCTTCCATTTCTGTCGCTCTTCCATCGCCGCCTCTATATCCTTCTCTCTTTTGCATCGCCTTACCTGAACGTGCAACCATTGTCTATGCATCCTTCGCGTTCGAAAGATTTCAGTATTATGAGAGAATATTGTTTTAAATTATTGTAATACATATTTAATTAATCTGTAATTTTTGACTAGATGAACGCTTTTTGTTGTCCTCTATGTTAACTTCTACACGGAGCGAATTTTCTCGTAAAATTTACCCTGAAAATCATGGTAATCGTGGGACAATATGATATTGGAAGAATTTTATAATTTTATATCTATCACAATAAGATATAAAATATGATCGATTAATTTTACCTATCTATCCCATGAGTTTCAGGCTAAATTCTAAGAGAAAATTCTATCCGTGTGTGAATTCTGGCAATATATTTGGTACAGTTTCGCAATGATTATTATTACAAAAGAATGAATCGGTATAAGAGAAGACGGGCGTTATTGTAAAAATAATATTATCCAAAGCGTTAATACTCGATTGAAGATAATCAATTGATGCTCGAAGTAATAAGGGTAAGTGAAGCGATACAGGATAATGTCGCGCCCACGACATTTTCCTCGCGTTAAGTACTCGAGGAGATTGGAGCCGCATGGAAGCGAAGCTATAGATAGAAAGCTATCTGGCAGCCACGCCTCGCGAGATATCCAGATGCCGAGGCATTAGCCCTATCCACATTTTACCCTGTTCAATCCCGTCTTATCTCTCGGTTCATTTTCATATATTATGGCACACACGATGCCAATGGTCTCTACACGATTTAGGACACTATATATGCACATTCCATGTACGTATATATGTAATGTACGGATACACAAGGACTCTGCAAAAATGTAAACTCGCGAATTTTATTTGCTGTAAAGAATCTCTAACGCTTTGCCATTTTTGAGATAAAAAATCGCCATTCCGAGATTAACACGGCGCTCGGTTCTGACTTTATAATTTAATCGTTGAACAAAGTATATTTAGTATATCACATGAAAGAG